ACAGCAATCCTATGCAAATCTGAAATAAGGCTTTGCATTCTGGAGGGCAGAGGTCAGCCGAAGTCGAGCAAGATGCACGTCCTCCGATGAATCAGGCTGCTCGCAGTGAGGCCAGCAAGAGGACGGAGGACACTGGCTCACACAGCTGGCACAGGCCCTGCCGGGTCTCTTTCAGGATTCAAATCCAAACCATGTTATCCAAGCATATTCCAGAAAGAAGAGAGACACCCGATAAGGCAGGCTGGAACCTGGGGGAGGCTCCAGACCTGTTACCCGCTACGTGGAAAAAGCGCTTATAAAGAGAAATACAGTCTTCCACAGAGAGCCGCATTACCTTAGCAGGCACTGGCAGTGTTTAACAAGGAAAAAGAAAAATCAAATGCAGAAACAGAAACTCTTTACCTTTGCTACAGCACAAAGTCCAAAAGCTTGATAATGTGTATGTTGGTTGAGGTACTTCTTCCTGAATTCAGCCAGGACAACCCAGGTTTGTAAAGCTCATCTCTCATGCTACCAGTCCTCCCAACTGGGACAAGTGCTGGCACGAAAGAAGGCACCACGTTTGCACACAGGCACAAGGAGCAACCTTGCCCTTCACTCCTCTGATGGCCCATGCTTATTATAGCTTTTATGCAGCTCCATGTGTCCCAAAGCCACCTGCAGCCATAGGTAGAGCTTTCCAGAGGCCGCTGGGTCTTGAGGGTATGGTGCTGGGATTAAGGATGTCATGCTGGGTTAAAGGTGCCCCACTCCGCGTATGAGTGTCACCCACCCAAGGGTGGGGAGTCTGGATAGAACAGGAGACAGGACGAGGGCGGCTGGCGTTGCAGTCTGCCGCTTGCCCCCTTGCTGCCTCCCGCCTTCTGCCTGCCATGAACTGTCTTCTCCTCTATGAAGCCTCTCTGTGTTGGAGTCAGCCAACTATGGAGTGACACCTCTACAAACTGTGAGCAGAAATAAACCTTTCCTCCCCTGCCTTTGAGTGTTGAGTATTTTGTCTCTGTTTTGAGAAAAGTAACTAAGACACCCAATAAGTGTACTCTTAATATACTCTGAAAATTCGAAGTGCGGGTATTAGCGAGTGTGTCAGTGACCTTCCTATCTGGAGATGAGACCTGGGTCTGAACTTACAGAAGGGTCTCCTTTGGCTCCCAGCTTCGGTGGGCTCAGTCTGTTGCTGGCTCGCTCCAAGGTAAGAAAAGCACAGCACCAGGGCCCATGGAGGAAAGCTGCCCATGTCAGGGCATCCAAGGGCAAAGGGAGAGAGGAGTCTGGGACAAGAATGCCCCGTCCAGGTTACAGTCCAAGGACCAGCTCCCCGAGGCCCCACTCTGAACAGCATGCTTCCCCACGGACTCATCAATGGACTCCTCACTGATGAACGCAAGCAGCCCCACCATTCCATCACCTTCAAAAAGCCTGACTCTGGAAAAGAGACACTGGGGGAACATTCTAGGCGTGAATTATAACATTTAGCACCTAAAACAAAGCAACAGAATTGCTCAGTTCTCCTGTCAGGATCCAAAAGTGTGACAGAACAGATCTTAAATCCTGCTCCACCCCAGCCACTAGCGGTTGGCATCACCACCCTGCTGCCCTGAGGCTCTTGGAGGTGATGAGGCACACAGCCAGCCAGCAGGTATGTGCGGGCAGAAACCACCTCTGCTGCCACATGTCAAAGAAAACTGAGAACCGCTCCCTAAGGAAGGAAGGGGCAGACATAGCCGGACCCCTTGCCCCTCAAATTTCTGAACCCTCCCTGTCTCGCCTACCTAGAAATCCATCAACTGCTTCCCGGAGCGACTCTTCTGCATTTCCCTAATCCCATTCTGAAGATTCTGGAAGGGTCAGGACACATCCGCACATCTGCTCCCAATTCACTAAATATCCATCTGTGTTCCTTGTCACAAATGGACCTTGAGACACATACAAAACCTATGATCCTTCGCTTTGCAAACTGGGTGCAATGCACTCGCAAGAGTGTGGTGCCCAGAACAGACACGCTGAATCTGCACAAGCACAGATAGCCTTTCCGGCACGGCTATCACCAGTTCCTGTCCCATTCCTTGAGTTTTCACGGTATGTTCTCTCCAACACACTGAAGCCATCTCCTGGGCTCGTGAACCATGCCCTTGGCAAAGAAGGGTGGCCTGTCTGACAGCAAGATGACATGGAGCTGAGGGAAGCAACCCAACTAAGACAGGAAGGGAAAGCCAAGTGGCCTCTGCTGGGAACACAGGCTCGCCTGCTGCCTCTCCCTGGGAGACCAACTTTGGCTCCAGAAAGAGCTGTTTGTGTTTGCACACACAGCAGAGGGGAGGCAGCGGTGCTCCAGAGTCCGGGCAGGGTGCGCATCTGCTCTGCAGGGGCCCTGGGGACCTTAATGGCCACAAGTGCAGGCAAGGTTACAAGACAGGAAGCAAGCAGCCCTAATGAGGATCCTTTCAGCATAAGCTCTGAAGCCAGCCAAGCAACGAGCCATGGAGGGAACAGAGCAAAGAGCCTGACTCAGATCCCTTTACCACCTCGGACTTTGGGGGTGGCCCTGAGCAAGCTTTTCGCTGGTGGTGCTCTGAGCTCCAGCAGGCGGTACTGGGGCAGTCTCAGGTCCGATTACATTTAGGAGCAGAAGCCATTGTCTTCTTTGTAGACAAAGCACTGTGTCAGAGGCTCAAAAGCGTCTCCTTTCTCAAGAATGCCATGCTATTGATTTAATATGGAAACTAAATGCATCAATATTATATGGGATTCTTACCTTTCTGTGCTGTTTCTAAGGTTGCATTTCAGAATACAGGCATCTGACAAAAAAGTTTCTCTGACTTATTTAATCTCTCACTCCTTCACCAAAAGAAGAATGAATTAGCTGTCATTTTAACTAAATTAATTTTACATATTGAGATTTTCTATTTAAAAACATTTGGTGAAACAGCGCTGAAGAGCTGTTTTAGCCTGTTCTCACCCGAAACGCCTGCTCAGTTCACGTGTGCCCAAGTCTTTTAGAAACTCCGGTATATTTCAGGGTTTGTTTAAAAGTTGAGAAGAAGTTCTCCTGAAGAAAACCTCTCTAATCTCCCTGAACCAGGCAACCGTGAGGCTATTTTGCAAAGGACTCTCCATCCTAAGGCCTCCTGATTTGCAGAACGGATGTGGCAGGATTATTCCAAGTGCCGTGAAGGGGCAGCACTGCAGTCTGCACCCGGCTGCCCAGGTCAGCGCAGGCCCTGGCTCCTAGCACGGCTGCGGGCCCGGGGCCATCCAGGTCACTAAGCAGTGTGGACAGTGCCACCTTGGCCTAGCCCCAGAGATGCCAGCACTGACCCTCCCCCAAAGCTGTGACGCCCCAAAGTATCTCCAACTAAGGACTTCTGTTTTTATGTATTTAGACCCAGCTAAGGACTTCTGTTCTCATCCTACAGCTAAAAATCTATCCCAGCCTGCGAGGAAGTAAAAAGGAAATCACTTCCTCTGCTGCAGCTGACATCCTGTCTTTCGCTCTGCTCGCTGCTCCTCCGTGCCTCTACCTCAGACAGGGGTGGGCCCACCGAGCACTCCCTGCACTGTCCTGAACTTGGGGGCCCAGCCCTCTAGCAGAGTTCACGCAGTCGGCTGCCGGGAGCAGGAGACAGCCAAGCTCCACACTCTCTGCTCCTCAGCACAGCTCCTGGCGTTTCCCATGTGCGTGCGGTGAGCAGGGCTGCCTGCCTCCCAGTGCTCTGGGCTCCGCAGGAGCAGAGCCTGTACCTCCCCTCCTGACATCTCCATGTGTCCTCTGCCCCAATTAGCACCCTGCCTGGTGCCGACCTGCAGGCAGCACCACAGCATGCAAGTGCACCTGCCACCTCAGCAGCAGGGCTAAATGAACATGTGCTTTAACTTTGGACATTCTGGAAGAATTAATGAAAAATCAAAGTAGCAAGGACAGATAATGGGAGCAAATGCCTCTTAATTCAAATTTTTCCACCTTACAGATGTCAAGAGCAAAGGGCATGCGCCAAAGGGTCTGTTCCAGCAGCTCACTAGACCCCGGGCTGGCTGCAGTCACAGCCAGAGGCCCTACAGCCTCCAGAAGGCCCTATCCCCCTGCAAGGTCCCTGACACTTCTGAAGTTCCAGTTTCTCTCCACCTAAGTCCCTGCGGCTGGACACCAAGTGGCTGATGTCACCATACCAGTTCCCAGGGCCAGCTGAGCTCTGGCTATGTGCAGACCCGGAGAGCACAGGTCCAGCACCACCTTCCTACCGCACACCTGGTGAAGCCTGTCTCAGAGAGTGGCTGTGGGGACAGGGCACCATGACCTGAGTCAGCAAGGTGGCACCCCCTCCCTCCTCCTGGCCCCTCTCTTTACTCTGGGTGCTGAGGTCCCCACTGGTGGACGATATCTAGACCTGCTCCTGCCTCCAACTCGGCGCCTCACCTGAGGAGACTGAGGGAACCAGCGGGCCGGACCTGGACACTGCCCTATGTCCCCATACTGGCTCCAGGACGCCCAGAGGGGACGATGTGAGGTGTGGGGGGCGGAGGCCAAGGGGTCAGGGGACGTGGGGCGCAGCGGGGACTCGCCGACTCTTCCCATACCTGCCCTCGGGACCCACGGCCGCCGATCTGCCCAGGGCGAAGAAGCAGCGCTCAGCCCTGGAGACCCCGGCCCAGACCCGGCCCGCAGGCATCCCTTCCCTGTCCCCCAGCCCCTCACTGACCTCGGTGCCCAGTCCGCCAGGGGCCCAAGCCCTCCAGTACCGCGTCTCCGAATACCAAGTCCCCTGTGGTGCAAGTCCCCAAGCCCGGACCTTCTTGGTACCGAGCATCCCTGGTGCTGAGCACCCCCAGTATTGAGTCCCCAGTACGAAGCGAGGCCCCGGCCCGAGTTCCCCGGTACTGGGTCTTCCGGTGCCGAGCCTCTCAGTACCGACTCTGGTCAGGTACCGGGCAAATCACCAGCACCGACCCCGAGCGCCGACCACCTCGGGTACCAAGTACCCCGATCCCCTGCCCGCACTCACCGAGGCCCGCGCAACGCGGTGCGGCTTGCGCGTTCCCGTCCGCGTCTCCGGCTGCGCGGCCGCTGCCACCACGCCGAGCGGGGACGCGCAAGGAGCCGGCGCCGGAAGAGGACGCCCCGCCCCGAAACCCCGCCCCTCTCCCGGGACCCGCCCCCGCACGAGACCCCGCCTTCTCACCCTGGGGTCCTGAGCGTGGCTGGCGCACCTGGCTGGGGAGAACTCAGGGTCTCCGCGGAGGAGGCCGAGCCCAGGACTCCAACCCAGCGCGCCCAGCCCGGCGCCGTGCCCGCAGGCCCGCAAGCTGCTGTCGCCACCGTGACCTTGAGACGGCTGCCCGTCCCGGTGCTGCCCGGCGCAGTGCGGCCAGGAGAGGGCGCCCCGGCCAACCGGAGACCCGCCTGCTTCGGCGGCCAGGCCGCAGGAGCGACCCCGACCCTGCCTGAGCGGTGCCCCCGCGTCTTGCTCGCCGGCCAGGCTGGGCAGCACCCAGGAAGGTTGAGCCGGGCCTTCTGCCATGAGCCCTTCTGCCCGGCCCGGCCCACCCGCCTCACCTCCGCCTGCGGCCCGCTGGACTTGGGGCTCATGCTGTGTTCACTGTGTTCGCGCGGTGGCGGCTGAGGTAGTCAGGTGGTCTGGCGCGTCCTCAGTCCTTTCCCCCCAGGCCCCAAGGCCCCCAGCCACGTCCCCGCGCCGACCTCCTCCAGTCCTGGTTCGCATATCCGGCCACCTCCGCCTCGTAGCTCTCCGGGTTCTGCAGGCTGAGCGTAGTGGGAATCCACGGGAGCAGCCACAGCCACTTCCCACGTGGTTGGAGAGAAGAGGGTATGCGAGCGCAGCACCCCGATGGCTTCTCCTGCGTCTGGGACCTCTCCCGGACATCTCCCGAGGAGCAGTTTTGCAAGCGGCCCAGTGATTCTGTAGATCAGGTTTTAGTCCTAAGTGCTCTGCTCCGAACGACCCTGTATTCCAGATTCGGAGTGACAGGGGACAAAAGTCAGCTGCAACTTGGGCAGATAGAGAACATGCCCCGACCGTCCGCGTGCTCAGAAGAACCAGACATGGAAGCCTGCTTTGCACTTAAAGACATCAGAAGGTCATGGTCTCGCCGGCCCAGTGCTCTGTCACCGCGGCCCCTCCGGAGGACCGGGCACATCTGGGAGGTCGAGACCCCCCACCCCCGCCCACACAGGAGCTGTCCTTCCTCTCTGCCCAGAGCAGGGGGTTCCCACAGTACCCACAGCAGAAGGAGGGACAGGGATCTGGCCAGGTAGAACAACAGCAGCCTGCCTCATCCCTGCCCTGCCCGCTCCCCGGGGTAGGAAAGAACACTGCCTCCTGCAGTGGATCTGAGCCACTCACAGATGAGCAAAAGCTCAGAGGTGCTTTGCAATGATTGTCACGCGCTGGGTGCTGCCGCCCGATTTGCCTGTCAGCAGGTGACCACGGCCTCTCCCAGGCTGGTCATCTTTCTGTCAGGGCATGCCTACTTCCAAGGTGGGGCATTCATTAGAGCGGACCTCAGTCTCTCCAGGAAAAGGGTGTTTTCCCTAGCACAAAAGCCCATCTGTTTTGTCTCCTACTTGACCATTAGTAAAGCAGTTGCTCAGAGAACCTGGGCTTCTCTCGTGGCCTCCAGCCTGCACGGGTCGGGGAAGCATAGTTTTTACAGTCTTCCTCCTGGGCCACCACTAACTTATGTAAATAACTGGCTAGTTTTCCTTTTCTCCAGTTCATAAGTCCTGCAGAATTCCCGTATTAACCCGTGTACTATTTGTTTATAGCTAAGTGCATGCAGGCCCAAGGTCCATCCACTTAGATACATTTTCATTACATTAATAGCATTAAATCTGGAATTTGTCCCCTAACCTGCTTCCTGCTGGACTGCCCTCACATGGGCTTCTGGAACCTTCTCCCTGAGCTTCCTCCACACCACTCATTGGTTACTCCTCCTCCTTTCCCCCTAGGTTTTTTTCCTTTCCTTTTGACTGTCTCTTATCATAATCTCTTAGTCTGTGCTGGCTTTACTTCCCCAATGAGCCATAGGTTCTTGGAGGACTGGCACTTTAACACATTTTCCTTTTCATCCCTCCAACCCTAGCAGGTGTTGGCCCTGGCTCCTGAGCACTCTTCGCTGCCTTCCAGAGGTACCTTGCTTTGGACAAGGCACAGAGCAGCACACTGTGCCTTCTCTGTCACACTGCTTTCAGACCAAACTTTTTGCCAGAAAAGCACAGCTACATTGGAAATGGGAAACCATTTATTCATACACCATTTATTCATTAAATTCATAAATTAACAAAAGAAATAAAGACAGCTTCCTTAAAGATGTATTAAAAGCTCATCCACTGCACAGCTGTTTCTCCATTGTTAAAAAAAAATTGAACAAAGAATTAAGTGAAAATTATTCACAATCACCTTTGCTCCAAATACTCTTTCATTTTATGACCGCAGATAAATGTCCTAACAGATCAACTCACGGTGCGTACCGAAGACAAAAATGTCACTGCCACCCCCTCTGTGCGCTTTAAGGCTAGAACTGCTCCAGGTGACAGTCAGGGCACATTAAGGATGCACAGCATTTGTGAATCCAAGATGCTCCTCATGGAGACAGCGCCATGGCCCTGTCCTCGCGGAAGAGGAATGTGCGTGATTATTACCCCAAATACCCGGCTGCTCTTTCTTGCCTCTAAATCTAAGGCAAACACAGCCTGACTGCTGAGCAAGCAGCAAGGGCCCGACCGCAGCGCCCTGCTCTCTCCTCCTGGAGTCCAAGGTGATATAAACAGGTATTTTTAATGGACCTCAGATTCTCAAGTGTCAAGAAAGTTGGCATTTCTTCCACAACACCTTTACATATAATGCATTAAGTACAAATCTTTATAAATTACTAATACCCAGCACAGTGTGTCTCTCCCTGTCTTGCTTCTTCCTGGATGCTCGCTTTGCATAGCGCTTACTTCAGTCTCACAGCCATCTTCCATCTCGTGGTGCAGGCGGTGCTCACCATATCCTGGCATGACCTGAGAGGAGTGTCTTCATGTTGACAGTTCTCTCCCAGTCCAGTCAGGAGGAAAATGTCATACCAATCCAAACAGGGCCACTCTGCAAAATAGCCAGTACTCCAAATCAACAGTCATAAAAAGGGGAAACTAAGAGAATGTCACAGTTCAAAGGACGCAACAACTGAACCCATTGTGGACTTAGGACCCTGGATTTGACTCTGGGACAAAATGAAGATATTAATGGGGAAAAGTGGTGAAATCTGCGCTTCAATTAATAGGAATGCACTGATGCCAGTTTCTTAGTTTAGACAAATGGTGGATGTCAAGCCCAGGGCAGAGTGAGTGAAGGCCTTGCAGGAATGCTCTGAACTGACTTCGTACATTGTCTATCAATATAAAGTCATCCCAAATACATTTAAATTATTTTCCCCTAGAAATCCCAGAGAAAAATCTAGATCCAACCAGCCCAGATTAGATGCCAGTCTGACTATGAGGAGCGGATGGGTTCGGTGTGCAGACAAAGTGGGGCCCAGCATCCGCAGTCTTTCAGGTGGCCCTTCTCAGGGGCCACGCGTGCTGCAAAGGTGGACGTGGCAGGTGTGGACCAGACAGGACTGTTCTTCTGAAGAATCCAGGTGGAAAAGGTGAGGGCCAAGCACCTGAGAACTCTAGCAATTCCAAGATAAAATATCTACATTTTAACCTTATAAATTAGGATGAATCTTTTCTGTTTTAATGTTTGGCCAATGGTATTTTATATTTCATGAAGTCTGGCAGTTTGTTTATGAATATACTAAATGATATGACTCCAGATTCTAACCAAGGCCCTTAACCACGCTCTTGTCCAGATTCTAAAAGGCAAAATAAATGTTTTGAGTTATTCTTCCCATATTTCCTCCAAAATTCACCATACTACTATTAAAGTCATAATTATGTGACCCCAAATTACAACTTAACCATTTTTTAAAAATTACAGCAAGAGACCCATTGCTTTGAATTCCCTCCAGAAACTCTTTGTTCTTCCCTTTAAACACATGGATCCCATTTTCCTGCCACCTCCTGAAGCCTCTGGAAGTCCTCTTTCCAGAGTGTCTCGAGTTGCACTGTTGTGGCCACCTCCAGGCCCTGAATCAATAACAAATGTTGGCCTTTTGTGGTCACTTTGAATTTGGGGAAAGTCAGAAGCGGCACACAGTGAATGAGGTGACTGCGGATGTGCCATGTCATTATTTTACAGAAACTGCCCTCAATCTTTTCCTGATTCAGGACATAGAAGCAGTCATGAGAGGACACTTGTGGAGTCCGTGATGGTCACTGGTGAAGAGTTTCTTGGTTGGTCTCCCACGGGCAACTCCAGTGAGTGGCCTATTGAAAGCGCTGGAGTCCAAACCACTGTGACCAGAACACAGCATGATGGCAACAGTTTCCGGGCTTTAAGGCAGTGAGGGCTGTTAGGGCGCAGCGTCCAGGAGGCAGCTTAACCCCAGAGTCATGCGGGTGTGACTCGGCGATGCAGCGGATTGGAAAGCGCGACCTACAGGGGCCTTGGAGTGGCTGAGGATTACAGCATCCGTAGGGCCGAAAAGTCTGCATGTCATGCGAAGGCCCTGCTCTTGCTGGCTCTTGGTTCTCACCTCAGGTTCATTTGCTCGCCACTCCCCAAATCAAAGGAGGCCACATTGTTTGGATAAAAAGAAACCAGGGTTTATTACACACCAGTTTTGGGGAGATGGCAGGCCCTCCTGCCTCAGGTCTCCCCCTCCCCATGCACAGGTGGGCCAGGGACTTCTGTAGCAAGCAGTGGAGGAGCACAGAGGGACAGCGTGGGTCTCCACTCCAGCATCTTCAGCTCTGGCCTCCTGGAGCGGCTGGCATCTGCATATTCTGTCCATGCTGACTCAGGAGAACTGAGAGAGTCCATGCGCCAGGCCCAGGGGAGGTTAGAGAAACCACCGGCCCTCAAAAGCCCTGACCTTTGAAGCTGCACTGTGGGTGACGCTGCTCACTTTGTGCCACCCAGACGCCTGCAGTGATGGCCAGCCTAGACCTGACTGGAGCCATCACT